CTGTGCAAAATTGAGAGGATCATATCCCATATTGCTAGCTTGGGAAAAGATCAAAATTCAAAATATAGTTTCTAYTGTTTTTTTTCCCCCAGCATTGGGGATTGAGTGCAGGGCCTCATGCATGYTAGGCAAGTTCTCTGCCACTGAGCTRTGTCCCAGCCCTTRTGGTTTTCTTTTTTAATATTTATTTTTTAGGTGTAGATGGACACAACACAATGCCTTTRTTTTTATGTGGTGAAAGTRTGTCATCTTTGCACTGGCTTTTGTACCATTGTAATGTCAAAAAATTGTAAAAAATTGAACCAGTATTGTTTTTTTCTTTTTTGGACTGGTTGTTCATAGTGTGTACATAGAACAGTTTCCAAACTTTGCTTTCCATAGGRCAAAACAGGTTCTGGCAGAGTGTTTCAGAGTGGCAATAGGAGGAGAAGTAACAGAGAGGAGCCACAGGTAGAAGGATTTAGGGGTCAGGGTCAAGGAGGATGCACCCAGATCCCTTGCTTGTCTCTGGAGTAACATACCTTGTAGTATCCTGAACTCTTGATCAGTACTCAAAGGCAAGGGGAAGTTGAACCTAATATGTGTTCTGCTCTTTTGCTTGGGCATAGGTGGGTACTCATGGCTCTGGGAGGCTGTGCCTCCCAAAGGAAGGTGGGTGCCCCACTAGACAGCTCATCTCTGGGGCACGATGGTCATCCTTYGCAGGATTTCTATCAAACCTTTGGAGTTGGAATTAATAATTAATATGGACTGAGGATTTGAGTGAGAGGGAGGTAGGGAAGTTAGTAGAATACCAATTACAGAGAGAAAGAGGGAGAAGGAGGGTGAGATTGTGAAAATAGGAGAGGCAGRCAGAAGATGGTCCTACAGCTTTTAGGTGGCTAATGGAGACAAGTTTCTTAGATAACTTGGCACTAACAAGAATATAGCTTACTTTAAGTTTTTCCAAGATTGCATGTATTTGAAGTAACATGTAACTATTGCAAAGTAAAGGGCAAACATTTGTAGTAGAGTCCAGAACCTATTTAAGGAAAGAACATTGCTTTTCCAGCACCAGTCTTGAGTTTCACCTCTGTCATCCTAGGATTACTTGCTACGTGTCCAGGCTTTTGTGTGTAGTTTTTCTTTCCATATAAGTATGTGTATGTATGTACATATACATATAATATATATATGTACATACATGTATGTATATGTATATACATACATACACACATATGTGTACAGATAAATAATATTTACCTGTTTATAATGGGAGTGTGTTTGCACCCGTTGTCATTAGCTTTGTAACATTTAATGCAGCTTGGAATTTTTAAAAAATATTTTTTATTTGTCAATGGACCTTTATTTTACTTATTTATGTGTGGTGCTGAGAATCAAACCCAGTGCCTCACACATGCTAGGTGAAGCTCTGCCACGGAGCTACAACCCCAGCCCCAGTTGGCATTATTAAYGGCCTAGAATTCTTTTATGTAGATGTGGAAGGCCAGGGTTTAAAATGATATAGTGAGAGTTGAAAGTTGTAGGAGTTGTCATGGAATAGTAAGACCTACTGACCTGGCTCACCTGGGTGCAGTTGCTAACCTCCTTCCTACCCCTGCTCCCTAGGGTCTGTTAGGCCAGTTGCTTGGTGAAATTGAGTAGATTTTTATGTCCTTGAAGTTTCTTAGTTATCTCCTTTTGGCTCCTTAAAGTGCCAAAAGTGAGACTAAAAAATGCTCAAGAATTACTGCAGAGATTATTGGCTGAATTGTAAGGACACTTCAAAGTAAATTGGATTTACCAAGCTGTGATTCATTTTTTGGAGAACTAAACCTTATAAATAGGATAATGCACATTAGAAGACAGTCCTTGGTCAAAGGCTGGCTAACAATGACCAAAGTATTTATTGGATATCCTCGAAGATGGGTATAAGAGACTTTTGTTGTTGTTTTTTTCTTTGTGGGGAAAAAAAATAGCCCTTTGAAGAAATTGTTTTGTTGCTGATTTTTATACTAGTAGGATTAGATGGTAGCAGGTATGTTATTGATTAGAAAAGTTTCTTCCTGATCATTTGTGGGGCACAGAGCAAAAAAAGATGAACATTTTTTACTATAAAGGACCATGAATTAATTAGCAATCTCAGCAGTTTCTGTGTGCCTTCATGTTTTYAAATATTAGYATAAAGTATACTTTTTTATTTCAAGTTATCAGCTTTTGAAAAAAATTGGGCCTTCTTTCTTTGTAAATTTGGGCTCGTCTGTTTTATTTTACATTTTACTTTTCCTTCAACCTCCTGTGCACACATAGAACACTGTTCTACCCAGTATGTTCCCTGAGGTCTGCATAGTTTTTCATCTCCTTTTCTGTRCAGAAACTGTCAAATGAAGGGCTGTATTGTAGAGAACTTGGTTCTGCATGCATGTCCTTTGTGAGGACCTGAATGTTATCTCCTGGACCCTCCCTTCTGGAGCACCCTGGACTTGYATCCACACGCACATCCACCCTCCCCCAGATCAAGCCACCTCCTACCGTCTGGGGTTTTCCTTGGCAGCTTCAGCCTTTCCTGGAGCCCATGGCCCTATTTCCCTCCCCTTYCCCTGTTGGAAGGGTAGCGCTGGTCTGTGCCTAATAGTGGAGGGGCCCCTCCTCCATCTTCTTCAGCAGGAATTCACTTCAAGAGAGCGCAGGCCAGAAGAGGAGCATATTTCTTTGTAGGTCTTGAGGACTTATATATTTTACAGATATGAAAAGATTTTCCTAGTCATTTTTGGGGCACAGAGGAAAAAAAAGATGAACATTTTTGGCTATAAAGGACCATGAATTAATAGCAATCTCAGCATTTTCTCTGTGGCTTTATCTTTTAAAATATTAGCATAAAGTATACTTTCTTATTTCACAATTCCAGTTTGAAAATGGAAGAATGTCYCTGGGGTTTTTGTTTGTTTGTTTTTGGTATTGARGGTTGAACCCAGGGGTACTTTACCACTGAGCCACATCCCCAGTCCTTTTTATTTTTTATTTTGATATAGAGTTTTGCTCAGTTGCTGAAGCTGGCCTCAAATTTGTGATCCTCCTGCCTCAGCCTCTTGAATTGCTGGAATTACAAGTGTGTGCCTTGTGTGGTTTTTATCAGTGAGAGATGGGACTGATGAATAACAATGAAGATACTGAATTTTATTTTTTAGAAGAATAGACTATTTTTTAGA